GGTGTTACAATGACATTTTGATGAAAATTTACATTTAATACATTTTATTTTTCAAGCGCTTTATCAGGTGCTCAAAGACGCTTTACAGACTTAAGAAATAAGATAGAAAGTCAAAATCGGGCAATAAAGCAACATTTATCACAGGGACACAGCATGAGCACACATTAGAAGTCAGTCTGAAAAGGAGTCGAAGCTTTTGGCTGCATTGTAATGTAAAAATATGTTTAAATCATTTTGTACGGAGGAAGGTTTCATGAGACAATTTGACACTTACACACCAAAACACCTGAGGGAGCTTCAGTGACCTCACCCCACTGAACATCTGTATCACATCAGGACACACACATTATATTTGTCTGTCCCAAGTTATACCTCACGTGCTGTCTGTCAGGTTCAGACAACGTCTTTCATCAGAAGAGTGTGTGTGTGTGTGTGTGTGTGTGTGTGTGTGTGTGTGTGTGTGTGTGTGTGTGTGTGTGTGTGTGTGTGTGTGTGTGTGTGTGTGTGTGTGTGTGTGTGTGTGTGTGTGTTCTGTCAGATGTGATTGCTGCTCGATCCCTCTGACTGCGACAGACGAGCAGCTGGAGGAGAGACGTCGCTTCTTTATCTCTCCTCCAGCTCCTGTTCTCTGCCTTTGATCTTTTCTCTCCTCTCCTCAGGCTGTTACTTATTGTGCTCCTCTGTCCATCTGGAGCTCTGTTCCACTGTCACTGCAGGTGTGTGTGTGTGTTTGAGAGAGAGAGCTGGAGTCAGGGATCAAGGTGCTGTTCATTTTGGGAGCAGATGATCATTTGAAGTGTCAGCCTAAATTCCCCATTGTTATTTATTACACAATAGCATTTCTTCTAAAGGCAGGAAAGGCAATACTTCCCTGTGATGGTGCCAGCATAATCTGTGCCTGCATGTGAGTGCAAAGGCTTTATGGCTTTATTTTGGTTCTCTTCCTTTGTGTGTAACAAAAGAAAGTGCTGACTGGGTCAAAAAATCTGCTCAGTCTAAAAAAAGAGAGGACACAAAGTGAGAATATAATTGTAGACTAAAAAAAAGACATCCAATGTTTTCACTCCCTTAAATCGCTTTTTAAACAGTTTATTCTTTGCCTCACTTTGTGACATGTCCCTCTCCCTTTTTCCCTCCCAGGAGGCAGTGGGGAGGGTGTGTCTGAAGGAGAGAGGACGGGACGTGTTGGTGTTACGGAGAGTGACTTCCTCAGTGACGTCGCCATCGGACCGGCCGTCGCCCACATCGTCAGGGGGCGGGTCCAGAGCGGAGGACTGTGACAAGAGGTCAGTCCCTCCTCCTATATAACAACAGTAGCAACAAAAACATAATCATAACACTTCTCCTCGTCCACTCTGGGATGTTGCAACGAAACACTCATGCACGTACATGCACCATATCAGAAGTGCTGTCAACACAGTGTGTGTGTTTGTCTAAGATAATGTATGCTTTGGCTTCTGGCACAGAGCTGGTAGAAGAGAATGGCTTTTTTGTTTTCAGCTGGAAGCCAAACAAAGATGGCACCAAGGCTGGTTTACTTCCTTCCACGAATTCGTGTATGTGTTTAGAGTTATTTTTCTGTGTGTCTGCTCAAAGTGAATTTCTTTTGTGCAGTGTCTGTGTTAGTGTGTTTTTAAGCCAGCGCGTGCCAAGTCCTGAGGCACATTGCAGGGAGTGTCAGTGACAGGCAGGTTAAGTGGGTCTGTGTATGTCTGTGTGTGCGCAGTGCTCAGCATCTTCAGTAGCAATCAGTTCCCTCAGAGTGCTACCGTAGAAACTGTCACAGAGAGCGTTTTAATCTCTGGAGCTCTTAGGCTGACGGCAATGCAGTTTATCCCACAGGAGAGCACCCTTCCTGGGTATGAAGAGCTTAGATGAGGGCTGATCCTGCGGAGGTTGTTAGATATGAAGATGACCATGGAGCTAGCTACGCTTGCCAAGGCAGAGGAGGACATAGAGGATGACGATGAGGAGGACGATGATGACGAGTGTAGCAATCATGATGAAGATGGTAGCTGTTCAGAAATGTGTGCTTTTGACGTTCCCCATTTTCGCTTCATCGATGACGACGATGTGGAGGAGAATAAGAAGGAGGAGAGTAAGGCAGGGTGGAGGAATGGAAGTGGTCGTTCTTGGTGCTCTAGTGAAGAAGATTGTTGCGACTCTTCGTCTTGCAGGTATGTGGTGGTGTCCGGGACGCCCCTCAAGATCTTGGAGCATCTGCTGAGTGACCTTCGGCTGGACGACCAAAGAGGGGCGCCAGAGAGCAGGGAGAGCGGTAAGTTTGTCGACACACGTGTGAACACAAATGCTTCATGAACACATCTGTGAAAGGGCAACGATACACACGTTAAAATGACATTTAAACACTGTTTAGTTGAAAATGTGACATTTTGTCATATAAATTAAGAAGTTGTGGAGTTTTTTTCCAATGTTTGAGCAAAGGTTTATTTCAAATAAAGCAATTCCCCACACTCTAATTTCAGGAAACTTTTTTTTAGTCCCACATAGGGTTGCAAAGGGTCGGAAAGTTTCCGGAAAGTTTCCATGGGAAGTTAAGCTGGGGAATTTTGGAAATATTCGATGCAAAATTAAACAAAAACATGACATTTCAACAGATTTTTTTTAAAACATTTTTTTTTTAAGTTGAAAAGAACAAGTTTTAATTATTTTATTGAACAATTATTTGTTTCATTGAAGAACGAAAACGGGAATGTTGAGTTAAATGTTACTCATCCACCTCAACCCCACTCATTAAAAAATGAACAAAAATGCACCCCCCATCCAAAGATCCCCACAAAGTCCCATTAAACATGCAAATCTTCCTTCAAGCGATCCTCTGCATTTTTGCTAAAACCTTTCAGTCAATGGGCTCTTCCTGGGCCTCATCAACATCCAACTCTGAGTCTTCCTCTTCAGTGTCACTGTCCAGCCTTGTTGAGGATGGCTCTGTGTCAGGCTCAAAGAGCCTTAGGTTTGCCCGAATGCCAACCAGTTTTTCCACTCTCACATTTGTGAGCCTGTTGCGAACCTTTGTGTGGTCTCAATAGCCATGCAGTAAGCAGTGTGCTATGGCCTGGATATTCAAGTGTACTTGAATGGCATCTGTTTGTTTTAGTCAAGATTATGCTAAAATATACTTTCCCCAACTATGTTTAAGTTCCCTATGAAGAGCCAACCTTCAATTTTGAAAATTCCCAGTTTATTCCCATAAATTCCCGTGGAAAGTTTCCATCTTTGAAAATTCCCGGAATTTTGCAACCATAGTCCCACACAAGTTACAACACAGCCCAGCCTGGACTCTTTCTATGTCTCTTTGATTTTCCGCACAGGGGTTCAAACCCGGGAGGTGTGTGTGTGTGTGTGTGTGTGTGTGTGTGTGTGTGTGTGTGTGTGTGTGTGTGTGTGTGTGTGTGTGTGTGTGTGTGTGTGTGTGTGTGTGTGTGTGTGTGTGTGTGTGTGTGTGTGTGTGTGTGTGTGTGTGTGGCTGCATGAGTCAGTCAACTCTCAAACCCATCCAGGTGTGTGCATTCACTCAACCCAGTCATTGCCTGTAAATCTGTTAGTATGAGGAACATTCAAGAGGTTAAATGCTCTAACGAGTTTCTGAAACGATTCCCTCAGGCTGCATTTCTGCTGCGAACAATTTCATCTTTCATATATCATTTTCACAATCATCACATGTACCTATGGCTGCTGGGTTATTTCACCGGAGCAGTTACAGCCCTGCTATATTGTTTTACCTCGGGACACGTTCTGTCATTTGTTTTACAGCAGTGTAGTTAGCATATAGACTACATTGAAAGTTGGGCAGCAACTTATTATTTTCATTTGATTCATTTGCACAATTTCTTCCCCGAACGCATTTAAGTGAGATATTGAATTTGTATTCAGTAGTTGATTAATCTATTATAAATGTTTGCATTATTTTTAAAGTAATTGTAGTGTAAGTTATAGTAGATAAAAGTATTTGTTATTCTGTTAAAGTAAGATAATCATTCCTGTAGAATAAAAACAGATGGTGTTCGTATCATTGTGAAGCCATCGTCACTCAAACAACTTAAATCCAGTAGCACCAGAGACACCTGGTTCACAACATGTATTTTATAAAACCTTTTCTTGTGAGTCGCACCGTTTTAAGACAAGGCGTCTTTATGCATTAACTCCTCAGCACCACCAGTTCCCGGCAGTCCACAGGGAGCCATCTCGATGAATAGCAGGAAACAGAAAACGAAGAGAGAGAGAGAAAGGGAGGGAGAGAGAATGAGGGGAAAGAAAAAGGAGAACTGAGATGGTCTTTGTGGAGGCGGACCACACAATATTTATTTACTGTAGAGAGAAAACACACTTTTGTATTTATTTAGCAGGGAAGCAGATCAAGAGTGTATGTGCATGCTTGGTCTTTGTCTCTGTGTGTCTATCTTTTGTACTCTGTGCACAGAATAAGTATAAGGGTGTGCACGTGTGTGTGTTTGTAGGCCCTCTGGGGTGGTGCTGAGCATCAGTGTGCCGTTTTAGCAGGCTTAGCTGTGCAGCATGTAGAACAGGCTTGAACACGCTTCCACAGAGAACGATTACCTCAACCACCCCTTCACACGTACACATAAAAAAACCCACACAACAAAAAACACAGCAGCAGATTACTGCGATTAGTTCTGCACACACACATTTTCTCTCTTTTTCCTTCCTGTCTCACAAGAGATAAAGTCCCCAAGGTCAGAAGTGTGTGTGTGTGTGTGTGTGTGTGTGTGTGTGTGTGTGTGTGTGTGTGTGTGTGTGTGTGTGTGTGTGTGTGTGTGTGTGTGTGTGTGTGTGTGTGTGTGTCTGTGTCTGTGTCTGTGTTTGAGAGAGAGTGTGACACTCTCTCTCAAACACAGACACAGACACAGACACACACACACACACACACACACACACACACACACACACACACACACACACACACACACACACACANGTGTGTGTGTGTGTGTGTGTGTGTGTGTGTGTGTGTGTGACTCACCCTCTCTAGTATCGGTCGAAGGACTTCGGGGTTGCAAACAGTTTTCCTTCAAACTCAACTGATGATACATTTGTTTACTCTGACAGAGAAAGAGAAGAAGAAACATGGAGATGTTCAATTCTGTATTCATACTTCACTGCTTATAGCTGTATTACAGTTGAACTCAAGGATGTATCGCTTTGCATCTAACCTCCCTTCTCTGGTTTACCTTTTGGTTTGGAGGGCAGTCATCGACAGTGCTATAAGAGGGAAACAAGACGCACAACGGTGAACAGGGATGCAAGTAGGTGTGAAATTGAAACAATATACACGCACAAAGTGACAGTCAGTCAATGAAGAACAAAGTCTTGTACAGAGACGGAAACACTTACTGTCGGCGACGCAGAAGTTTCTGGAACTCCTTCAGGTCCTTCTCAAGCGTGGGGAACTCGTACAGATCTTCTAAAACACACCTATACAGGGTCTAACAGAGAGGGAGCAAAACAAAACAATGAAATAATTTACACGACATCCAGAATCTCATGCTGTCAAATAAAATGACCAAAATAACATGGCATTATCATAACCGTGTGTGCAGAACATTTACAGAGCAACATTTCTGTGTGTGTGTGTGTGTGTGTGTGTGTGTGTGTGTGTGTGTGTGTGTACATGGCAGGGAATTAGTAAGAAGTATGAAAGCTCAGGAGGCAGAAACAGCAAGGATACACACACACGTCTCCAAACACCTGCTTATCGCTGTCATTGACCCACCATAGCCTCCCATCCCAATTCTCCTCTCATTCCTCCTGTTACTAGGCAACTATCACCTGGGTTACGCACTCCATATGAGATTATACACATGCCAACCCTCGCACTTTGGTTTCCATGGCAACCCGGCACAGAGATACGGAGCCTCCAGGTTACAGAGGGATAAGTGATT